CCACACACACAAACACACACACACACCACAAACACACACCAAAAACACACAGACACAGACAGACACAGACAGACACAGACACACACACAGACACACACAGACACACAGAGACACACAGACACACAGACACACAGAGACACACAGACACACAGACACACAGACACACAGACACACAGACACACAGACACACAGACACACAGACACACAGACACACACACAGACACACAGACACACAGACACACAGACACACAGACACACAGACACACAGACACACAGACACACAGACACAGACACACAGACACACAGACACACAGACACACAGACACACAGACACACAGACACACACACATACACACATACACACAAACACACACACACACACACACCTCACACGCTTCGTGGCCCCATAGGGAGCTCCACCTAAGGCCCCAATGGGAAAGTTCGCATGACGGCCCCGCCCCAGTTCGGCACACCCCTCACACGCTTCGTGGCCCCATAGGGAGCTCCACCTCATGCCCCAATTGGGAACGTCCGCATGACGGCCCCGTTTCATTTCGGCACACCCTAAGCACGTTCTGTGGCCCCATGGGGAGCTCCGCGGAAGGCACCAGAGGGAAAGTCCGCATGACGGCTCCGCCCCATTTCGTGGCCCCATAGGAAGCTCCGCGGAAGGCACCAGAGGGAAAGTTCGCATGGCGGCCCCGCCCCATTTCGGCACACACCTCACGAGGATCGTGGCCCCATAGGGAGCTCCACCGAAGGCCCCAGTGGGAAAGTTCCCATGGCGGCCCCGCCCCATTTCGGCGCACCCTCACAAGGATCGTGGCCCCATAGGGAACTTCATCGAACATGATAGTCACGACTGCGGTACTCACAGCTGCATATGGTTGGGTCCTTCGTCAGGCTAATTGGTAGGGATGGTTGGCCTGCGCGCAGCAAGCAATATGCTGGCACCCCCGCCGTCCCTGCAAAGTGGTCGCGGGGCACCCGGGCATGCGCCAGGTTTGGAGGCAACGTGCAGTTTGTATGGTTTTTTTTTACATGGGATGGTGGGTGGAGGGCTCATTGCTCCGGGTTGGCTGCCGTTCGCCTGGGGGAGGGTGTGTTTATTTATAAGGAACAGTGATAAAACCTCTAAACCACTCACGCCCTAAAGGGCTGGTGGGACTCCACCTACTTGATTAGGCATTTACTGACGGATTGAGGTGACCCACGTTCTCTATTGCGAATTATTGCCATTGGACGTTTGGCCCTGGAATCCCATCGGGTGGTTTTCGCGAAGGTGTGTGCGTGCGTGTGTACCTTTTCCTCACCCGCTGCCTTTACGCCAAGGTGTTGACAGATATAGACACGTGATAACCTCTGCTAGCTGGAGGCGGAAACATCAACCGCCTCTGTCCTACGGGCCATTGGCAGGGTTGGCTCTCTGATCTTTCCCACCCGTGCACATCCAAACGTCATGCTCTCTCACCCCGGATCTTTGCTCCAACGCTTGCCTATCCAGCTGCATGTGGCAAGTGGCAAGTGCCGCCGCCGTGCCAGCCCAGTGTTCTCGGTGGCGAGTGTTCGTGGGCGGGAAAGCCGCGATCAGGGTGAGGACGGATATGCGGATATTGGTCATATTGACGATGGAGATGATGGTGATGATTATGATGATGATGATGATGATGATGCTGTTGTTGATGCTGATGAATACGTCGTGGAGGATTATGATGCTGCAGTTGGTGATGATGGTGCTGGTGATGCCGGCGCTGCTGATGCCGGCGCCGCTGATGCTGCGGATGTCGTTGCTGCTGATGTTGTCGTTGTTGTTGATGGTGTAATGATGATGACGATGATGATGATTATTCTGATAACGATGACGATGGTGATGATGATGGTGATGCCAATGACAATGACGATGATGTTGATGTTGATGATGATGATGGTGGTGATGATGCTGATGCTGATGATGTTGATGAGGGTGATGCTGTTGATGTTGATGCTGATGCTGCTGATGATGATGAAACGGGGGTGATGATGTAGATGGAGATAGTTGTGGTTGTTGTGGTCGTAAGGAGGACGAGGAGTGGGATACATAGCAGGATAATAATGAGGATGAGCTGGGTGAGGAGGAGGAGGAGGAAGAGGAATACCACCACAAGTGGCATCTGTCGTCTTCACTGATTACCAGAACTCTCATGGAACTCGTTTGGTCCGTCTGGGGGCTGTATTGGCCTCCCGTGCGGCAGTTTGTTCTTTTTCTGGCAAAGCCTGAGCCACTCGAGTGACGGGACGGTCGCGCGCGAAAGGACTGGATTTGGGTCAACACCTGAGCAGTTTCATCGAAGGGCCGCCTTGGGTGGTCTCTTGTGGGGCCCTCTTGCGCCGTCCTGGGGCTCTGTTGGGCCGTCTTGGGGCCCTCTTGGCTGCATGGTGGGTGCCTGGGGGCCGTCGTGCGCAAGGTCTTGTAAGACAGTCTTGGGTCCCACGGGAGGCCCTCTTGGGCCGTCTTGGGGCCGTCTCGGATGCCTCGTAGGCCGTCCTGGGCTGTTGGAGGTCCTCTTCTGGCCGTTTTGTGCTCTCGTGGATGAATACTGGTCTTTGAGGCATCTTGGGCAATCTTTGTCTTGGAAACTGTGGACGCGGATCCATCGTCATTTCACGAGGGATCGTGGCTTCGGGATCGATGACCCATTGTTCCCAACCATCTTGTAGTGCTGGGTCCTCGTTTTGCAGAGAGAGCGCCCCACGTCTCACTCCTTCCTCCTCCCCGCCTCCTCCTCCTCCGCCTCCTCCTCCTCCTCCTATTCGATCTCAGCTCAGCCTGTGCCGCCCAGTTCGGCACACCGTTCACACGTTTTGTGGCCTCATAGGGAGCTCCACAGAAGGCGCCAGTGGCAGCGTTCGCATGACGGCCCAGCACCCACGTCGGCATACCCCTCACACGTTTCGTGGCCTCACAGGGAGCTCCACCGAAGGCATTAGTGGCAGCGTTCGCATGGCGGCCCCGCAAATATTTTTTGCACACCCCTCACACGCTTCGTGGCCTCATAGGGAGCTTCACCGAAGGCCCCAGTGTAAATGTTGGCATGGCGGCCCCGCGCCCATTTTGGCACACCTCTCACACGTTTTGTGGCCTCATAGGGAGCTCCACAGAAGGCCCCAGTGTAACTGTTGGCATGGCGGCCCCGCGCCCATTTTTGCACAACATCACACGCTTTGTGGCCTCATAGGGAGCTCCACCGAAGGTCCCAGCGGCAGCGTTCGCATGACGGCCCAGCACCCGCTTCGGCATACCCCTCACTCGTTTCGTGGCCTCACAGGGAGCTCCACCGAAGGCACTAGTGGCAGCGTTCGCATGACGGCCCCGCAAATATTTTTTGCACACCCCTCACACGTTTCGTGGCCTCATAGGGAGCTTCACCGAAGGCCCCAGTGTAAATGTTGGCATGGCGGCCCCGCGCCCATTTTGGCACACCTCTCACACGTTTTGTGGCCTCATAGGGAGCTCCACCGGAGGCACCAGTGGCAGCGTTCGCATTACTGCCCCGCACCCATTTCGCCACACCCCTCGCACGTTTCGTGGCCCCATAGAGAGCTCCACCGAAGGCGATACCGACAACTCAGAGGAGCATGAAGTATTGATATTGATAGTTTTCAAGATTTCCAGGTTTTCCTGTTCTTCCGCGCGGGCTACAGGGACGAATGGTCGAGCGCATTCCGTCGCGCAGGTTCTTTGCGTGATGTGCGCGGTGCATTTTTCGCGCATCGGAGCGCCCTTGGAGATACCAAGCTGCATGCTGTGCTGCTCTTGGGGAGTCCGCGAGTCGCAGCTGCCGTGGCGCTGTTCTCGAGGTGACGCCTTCGAGTGCTATTCGCGGGCGCGAAGCTCGGCGCGCGCTGCGCCCAATCGCGCCCGGCGCGGTGCGTGAATCAGCCGGCCGCGCCCGTCGGACCGCCCGGAAATTATTTCTGGATTGTAGAATGTTTCAGAAAACTCTTCTGTTTTTGGCGCAAGCTTTTCCAGAATTTGTCAAAAATGAGCCCAGAAATTTCCCCAAACCAGTTTTGAGGGGTGGAATGCGCCCGCCGCGCAGGACATCTGAAGAATTCTGGAACCCGGAATTTTCCAAAATGGATTCCGGAATTTTTCACAATCGATCCTGGCATTTTTCAAAATCGATTCTGGGACAAGCCGGACATTTTCAAAAACGTTCTTGGAGTCTCCCATTTTTGCCCCCGCAGGTTTTCCAGAGTCGCGCGTGATTTGCCATGCCAGGTCATTGGAAATCCGCCGAGGCGCGCGGTGCGCGGCGGCGGGCCATGGGACGGTGCGCCACCGTCCCCCCCGCGCTCGGCAACGAGAAGGGGGATCACCAAGTGCCAAATAGCCCCCTGCGGGCGACCACTCGACTGCGAATGGGTGCCCAACCAGCGGCGCCAGCCAGAGTAGACAATACTCGACGCAAAGTGTACCCCGCGCGAAGGCTGTTAGAAATCGGGGAATCTTCGGAACGTATCAGTAGCACGTTGTGTCAATAGATTCTTCTCGTCCTAATCACGGCGATATTCATGGCTGCGTTTGGTTGGGCCCTTTGCCAGGATAATTGTTGTCCAAGGGATCGTGGTCTCGGGAGGTTGGGCGGTGCATTCTGGGAACTGTTCGTAGGGGAGTCTTTGATTAGAACTCAGAAGCCCCACCAGACGGCCTTGGCTGTTTCCCACGCGCCAGACAAGGCACTGTGGCGGATATGGGCATCGCCCCGCCATCCATGCTGAAGTTACAGCAACATGATGACATTACAACGTGCTCGCCAGCGTCGTTGGCGTTTGGGCTTGTGTTGGCAAAATTCCGCACGGAGTGGTCGGATGCCAAGTTTTTGTTGTTGCTCCAGCTCCTCCTCCTCGTTCTCATCCTCCGCCTGCACCCTTTCGTCAGGTTCCGCAGCCGTTGTTATGTGTTTGAGCTCATGGCGGGCTGTTGAAAGCCCATCATCAAACAACTTTGCCCGATACCGATGACGTTCTATTCTCTTGTGGGGCTGGTGCTGTTGTTGTCGCGCGCCAGTGTGGCCGATGCCCTGTCCATGATGGAGGCGAGCCCGACGCTCCAGCGGGGTGATCCCGAGGTCGTGAGACCGAAGCTGGCGGAACACGTTCGCCCTGAGCTGAGGAGAGCGTACGTGAAGGTGACCGATGCCCTGGCAGGCGAGGTCAAAGAACACTTGGAGACCTACAGCAAGGCCTCGCGGCTCTTGGCCCAGGCTCGCGGCATGAGCCATTCGAGGCACATCCTGGACTTCGTCATGGAGCACCCGGAAGCTCCAGCGCTGTCCCCGAGAGGATGCTTGTACCTCCCGACCGACGACGCCTGGACGACGTTCTATCTCGGAGATGCAGAGACGGCGCAAGCATAATCCTTCGGAGGTTCCCGCGGGTGATCGGCGCTGGGCCCCACTCCGTGGCGCGCTGAACGCGCCAGGGGCGGCTGCCGCTCCAAGACATCCGCGCGGACCTCCGAAAGTTGATGCCCATGCCGCTTCTTCCTCTTCGACCGTCAGTACGTGGAGCATCCTTTCCCGCCGCTGTTCGCCACTATGGTCGCCAACGCCTACTACCCCGAGTGCAACGAGACGTCGCTCACTGGCATGCGGCTGCCGCAGGCTTGCGATGATGGCGGCATGCGGGGGTACTCAGGCTGCTTCTCGGTGGCCCGACTCGGGAGGGCGGGGGGCGTGCACATCTACGAGACGGCGGGCCACGTCGGACTGCCAGACAAGTGGGCCTTCCACATCTCGAGGAAGAGACATCGGAGCCGGCACGAATTTCTGGAGCTCCGCGCGGACTTCTTGAGTCAGGGGCAACGGTAGGGGGGATGGGCATAGGGGGGATGCATCGACCGTCAATTGCCCATTGATCGCCGGCGGCATTCGATCGACCCTCAATTGCCCAGGAATGTGCGCATTCGCTATCGGGGCCCTATCGCCGATCTATCGGCGATGTATCGCCGGTTCCAGGTCGATGCCCCTCCCCTATGCCAGTCCCCCCCCCTATCGTTGCTCCCAATTGAAACGGCGCTGGATCCACCCAGTGGCGCCTCGGGCGCCGTCCCCAGGAGTTCCGCGCGCTCGAAGGGGAGGGTCCAGGGCGCCGATTCCCGCAGAGTCCGCGCGGAGCGCCGACAGTTCGTGTTTATGTGCAGTTGTTGGCCACTCCTGCCGAAGACCTTCATGCTGTGAGTCAGCGAGCGAAGAACGGTATAAAATAAACTTTCCGCCGTCGGGGACACCTGCCCCTGGGCGGCTGGAAAGTTTCTACCCCTACGGTGCCACCGTAAGGGTATAAACTTTCCAGCCGCCCTGGGGCAGGTGTCCCCGACGGCGAAAAAGTTTATTTTATACCGTTCTTCGCCCGTTAAGTGAGTGGCCTCACCCATTTCGCCCTTGCTCCGCGGCCGCCCTCTGTCCTGTCTCTCGCTCGTGCTGCCAGACAGCTCGTGTGCTTCGCCCCAGCCTTCTGGAGCGCGCGAGCGGACTGCTTCTGCCGCGCCGCGGCGGAGACAGGTGATGCAGTTGTCTGTTCCTCGGGCATCGAGAGCACGAGGCTGAGGCTGGCGCCACGCAGAGGTAGCAACACCCGTCGCGTGGAGAGGACAACCAGGGATGAATGGGGTTGCGACGTGTCCAGCGAGCTTCCCAGCGTGCCCCTTGGCTCCAGACTAGAGATTCCGGTCGCCTACGTGGTGTGTCGGACGTCGGACAGTGACAGCCGCATCACCGAGGAGATGGTGCGGGAGCAGAACAGGTGGGCCAACGAAGCTTATCGTGGGGATTCGCCCTGGCAGCCTATGGCCTTTGACAGGGGGCACCCCGATGCCGTGGACATGAAGATTGGATTCAAACTCGTAGATGTCAAGATCGTGACCGACCGTGAATGTGCCCAGAGAGGGTTCACGGACTGGGGCCGCAGCCTGACTCGTAAGTACAATCCGAAGCCGTTAGAGCAGCTTACCATTGTCATTGTCACAGACGACATGTCCGGTGTCCTGGGGCAGACGCAGTTCCCTTTCGACGTTCCAGAGGACAGCCCTGAGCAGATGGTCGTGGTGTCGGCCGAGGGGTTCCGGAGCTTCCCCAGTGAGGGGGGGATGGAGAATTGAGGAGGGAAGATGAGGGTCGATGGGCGAGGTTTTTTAGAGTCCTTAGCCCTGTTTTCGGCCTCCCTGGCTGCCCCCTGAGGCTCCAAGGGGCCCTTCCTTCCAGAACCCTTGGAGACCTCTGAGCTCTGGGGACCTCGGGATACCTCTCGGGACTTCCAGGGACCTCCTGAGCGGAGGTGGGGAGATTGAGAGGGAGGGGCGACGGGGGGGTAGCGGGAGGGAGGGAGGTCAGAACTTGGGCAAAGAGTCGGATATGCGGTACGACGAGGGGGACACGGTGGTGCACGAGGTTGGGCACGCGCTCGGCCTATACCACACCTTCCAGTCGGGCTGCCAGAGCGGGCAAGGGGGCGACTGGGTCGACGACACGAACCCAGAGATGTTCCCGCATTTCACCTGTGACAGGTCGAAGAATAGAAAACATAGGCATAAGCCTTCGGATGACCGCGCGAAGTTCTTGGATCGGCGCTGGACCCCCCTCGCTGGCGCGCGAAGCGCGCCCGGGGAGGCGCCGGAGCCGCCGCCCTGAGATTCAGCGCCGATCACAGCAAGTCCGCGCGGCCTTCCGACGGTTGATCCTCATGCCGCTTCTGCCTCTGCCAGGTCCTCCTCCTGCCATTCGCCCGACCCAGTCCGCAACTTTATGGACTACACGCCGGACTCGTGCATGGTGGGCTTCACGGAGGGGCAGAAGCGCCGCGCCTGGTGCGTGCTCGAGAAGACCCGGCCCGCGCTCTTCAGGAGGTCGCTGGCCGTGGACCCGACGGGCTAAACGCGCGGCACCGTTGGTGCCCCGCAGTCGGGCAAGGGCACAAGTGTGTCACGCGGTCCATGAACGCATGGTCGCGTGGGGTGCGCTCCCGCCCAAGATCAAGAAGAGTAGTGTGTGCATACAGTTCCTTCTGACTGTGCAATCGAAGGGGGCTGCAGAGGTCCCTTGAGGCCGTGGGGCCCATGTGCCAAGAGGCGGCAGCGCAGAGAGCACCAGTGGTCGCGGCGCGCTGTTCTGGCGCCATGCGACCAAGAGTTCAAGTCGAAGTGAAGCAGTGGGGGTCCGTCGCCTTCGTTTGGCTGGCGTCGGGCAGACTCGCCCTAGACAGGGGCGAGGCATCCCCAGTTCCATGTTGTTATACAGCGGTGCTTCTGCTGTTTCCCCCCACGCATTACAGGGGGGCGCCTGGGGATCACTCTTTCTCCTCATCCTCCTTCTCCTCCTCTCTCCTGCTTCTTCTTATTATTATCATGCTTCTTCTTGGTCTTCTTATTGTTCTCAGTATTATTCTTCTCTCCTCCTTCTTTGTTGCTTCCTTCCTTTGTTCCTTTCTTCCTTCCTTCCTTCCTGCCCCTCCTCCTCTTCCTCCACCTCGTCCCCTCCTCCTCTTCCTCCACCTCGTCCCCGACCGACAGTCGAAGAAGAGCAAAGGCATTTACATAGTCTTAAGCTTTCGGAGGCCCGCGCGGATTTCTCGGACCTGCGCTGTGCCCCCCCGTGACAGGGGAGATTGGTCTTCTGGGCCACTCTTATCTCCTCTCATTCTCCTCTTCCTCCTCCTCCTCCTCTTCCTCCTCCTCCTCCCCCTCCTCCTCCTCAGTATCCCTTTTCCTTCTTCTATTGCTGCCGATCCGCTTCTTGTGCTGTTTTTTATTTCAGCGCACCTGTCGCACGCTTCCTGCCCCCCAGGGAGCTCCACATGTGGCACCAATGCGGGTGTCCACATGGCGTCCTTGCGCTCATTTCGTCACAGCCCTCACGCGTTGTCTGCCCCCCTTGGGAGCTACACATCTGGTGCCAGTGGGGGTGTCCACATGGAGCCCGCGCGCATATTTCAGCACGCCTCTCACGTGTTTCCTGCCCCCCATGGAGCTCGATCTGTGGCCCCAGTGGGGGTGTCTACACGGCGTCCCCGCACCTATTTCGGTACACCCCTCAGGCGCTTCCTGCCCGCAGGAAGCTCCACCTATGGCCCCAGCGGGGGTGTCCACATGGCGTCCCTGCGCGCATTGCGGCACGCCCCTCACGTGGCTCCTGTTTCCGTATTGAGCTTGGCGTCATGGGGGGGTGTCTGCAGCATGGCGTCCCTGCGCTGATTTCGGCTCGCTTCTCCCACGGCTCCCTGCCTCCATGTGGAGCTCCACCCATGGCGCCAGTTAGGGTGTCCGCACGGCGTCGCCGCACCTAACTCGGCACACTGCTCTGGCGTTTCCTGCCCTCCAGGAGGGAGCTCGACCTGTGGCCGCAGTGGGGTGTCCACTGGCGTTCCTGCACCCATGTCGGCACACTCCTCACTCGTCTTCTGCCCCCCAGGGAGTTCCACCCAGGGCCCCAGTGGGGTAGATCCCTCTGAATGTGTTCTCGCGTGTTGAGCGGTCCTGTAGATAGTCGCTTCGCTTTGACAAAGAGAAAGGGTTGGGTTCTTCGTCAGGCTATGTTTTCACCTGCCCTCATCTTCCTCCTGCCCCAACAGGGCGACTTGACCAACGGCTCTCGCCTTTGAAGGTTACCCAGGTTTTGTTTTTGAGCGTCTTGATGCCCGATGCGAGCCATCGCTTGTCGGAGCTTGAGCTTGCGGTTGGCACAGGGTCCCAAGGTCTGGCTCAGCTCGGCTCCTCTTCCCCGCCCCCCGCTGCCGTCCGGCTTTGCCCACTCCCCAGCCTGCTCATCCTCTCTCTGTCGGGGTTACGTTGGGTTAGGGCGCCAGCGCCCGTTTTGAGGGTGGTGCTTCCCCTGTCCAGGGGTGCCCGAAGCAATTTTCCTTTGAACCCGCCTGTGGCCATCCCCCCACCTTCACGTCCTTTCCGACTCTGCCGCCGCTGGCTTCTCTCGCTCCTCCCTCCTCCCTCCTCCCTCCTCCCTCCTCCCTCCTCCCCCCTCCCTCCCTCTCTCCTCCCTCCTCCCTCCTCCCTCCTCCCTCCTGGGCCGGAGCGCTGCCCTTCCCCGGGCGAGCGGCGCGGGGGCGCAGCAGCAGGCGCGCAGACCGCGCACCTCGGGGTGCCTAATGCGCGATGTTGGGTGACCCAGCTCTCTGCCGCCGCTGCTTCTTCCGCTCCTGCTCCCTGCCCCCCGCGGACGGGTCTGGGAGGCCAGGAAGAGGATCAATCAGTTTCAGAGCGTTCCGGAGCGCTCTGAGATGGCCGCGGCGCCCGAGACATTCTCCAGAGCCGCCAGACCTCAGAGATTCTCGATTTACCTCACCCGAATTTTTCCTCGTCCTGGCTTCGTCTTACCCCCTGGTCAGCTCCCCAGACATCCGACGATGAAGGTCCCGACCCATTCCCCAGGGTCAGCTTTTCGTCACGGGTCCACTTTCGGGCTAATGCCAGTGGCCTGCATCGAGGAAAAGCGGCCAGACTGAACAAAGGCATATCGTCGGATATCTGGGTCTCCACTCAGCATTCCCTCTCCAGGGTCCATTTCGATCCGATCGACCCGATTCGACCTGATTTGATAGGTGTTGTGTGAGATTCTGACCATTGCAGCTTTCCGAAGTCACCAACGTGCGGCAGTGCTGTGGAATTCTCACCATTGCAGATTTCCGAAGTCACGAACGTATAACATGGCTAGGTCGTCGTCGTCGTCGTTGTCGTCGTGGTCGTCGTCGTCGTCTTCGTACGACGACGACGACGACCTTCTTTTTCCGCTTCATACATCCCACGTGCGACTCGTTGGGACAGAAAGTTCATTTCCCCCCCGGGACCCCGAACTTTCTAATCCCCGGAGGATTAATATCTGGGGCTCAGGGTTAGGCTCGATCCGATTTGATTCCGATATTCGGACGTTCCGATGCGGCCCGATATGTGCATGGCTTTGTTGCGCATCCAGGCGCAGCTGATCCGATTCGGTTTCGACTCCGTGCTGGTGCAGTCCCATCTGGCTTACGTTCCGACTCGATCCGATTTCCCGATTCGGTGCTGACTGGTTTCGCCCCAACAGAGACCAAAGATCTTCACCCTGCCAGCAGGAGCCGTCCAAGTCCACCAAGCCGCTGCCCGCGTGGGCCTACTGGATGGGCCTGGCCGCGCCCCTCGGCAGCTGCGAGCCCTCTGGCGGCCCTCCCTCGGCCTTCTGCAGGCCCTCGGCGGCCCCTCGGCGGCTCCCGGTGCTCTCCCGAAGAACCAACCAGTTGCACAAGTCTCGAGCCACCGTCTGGGGGTCGATCGTCGGGGGGACCTCGGCAGGCGGTGAATCTGGATATGCTCGGGCAGTGGCGGGGGGGGGGCCTGTGTTCATATCCACCGCCTGCCGAGGTCCCGGAGGATCAATCCCCCAGGCTCCGCGCGGATCCCTTAGATCGGCGCTGGCCCTCCTGGCGGCGCCTTCCTGCGCTGCCCGTGGCGCCCTCCGCGCGCCAGGGAGTTGGGGCGCCCAGCGCCGTTGCTTGTTTCTCGAAGCGTGGAGGCTCGGGTGCGCCCAGGAGGGGGCCAGCGAAGATGGGGCCCCGATGCAAGAAAACCGCGCGGCGGGCTTCTCGTTCTCTTCCCGGGCCCGCGACGCGCTCCTCGGGCCTGGCTCCTGTCGGAGAGGAGGCGAGTGGGAGATTGGGAGGGGGAGGGGGAGGAGGAAGAGTAGAGAGAGATACCAGTTGCAGAGCGGGGTCGTGACAGGAGGCCCAGGCCGCCCACGCAGACTGACTAAATCAGTCTGGAAACCCGGGTGCGCCTCTTGATCCGGATTGGCGTGCCGTCCGACCAGGTGTCGTAGTTGACCTTCGGCACCAGGTCATCCTCGAGGCTATCTGCTTTGGTCGGCGGCCGGCACAATTGTTGAAGGTTCTTGCAGGAACTCTTGCGGTCTGCACTGCACGTAGTGGAGCATCCACAACGACGACACCACAGCAGCCCGCGAGTCAACACAAGATGATCAATTGCCAACAGTAGTTGCTGTTCCAGACCCCTCTGCGCCATCTGGCCGCTTCCTCTTCCGTGTCAGATCGACGGTGGCGTGAATCAATTTCACACGCTTGCTGTGAGGGTCCACTACATCACTTGACGACGACGCTAATGTATAAGAAGAGTGCTGCCTCATGTCTTCCGCGTAGGCGTCGTCGTGGTCACGTAGGCGTCTTCGTTGTGGTCCAGCCTCCTGCACGGGCTGCTGTTCGGGGGCCTCGTTGCCACGCCGCCAACACTGGCGGCTGCAAGAAGTTTGAATCCAAGAATCTGCATGTGCGTGCGGCACGGTCTCCAGGCGGGCCCGACACTAGTATCCAAGCTTGCCGGCCACCACCACATGCGACGACTGTGCAATCGCCTGGGTCCTGCGCTCCTGTAGGATGAATCGCTTCTGGCGCTCAGGAGGCGCAGCTTTCGTGCGATGCGTGGAGCAGCTCTGCTTGTGCACCGCCACCAAGCGTTTGAGAAGCATCCTTCGACCTTCACATGCCAAGTCGTAAGCGGCGCGGTCCTGTGCCGGGTCACGCGTCAAATCAGCCTAATTATCAGCAAAGCGGTCTGCGATAGTATTGCCAATCCAATCTCGAACCTCGACGTCGTCCAAGACGTCCACGGCTTCAATTTCACCATGAAGCGATCGAACCTTACGGACTTTAGCAGTGCCTTCGCGGCTGTCCATCGCCAGCCCGATTGAATGCCACAGGTCAGCGCTGGCTGCGCAGTATGGGTGGTGAGGCTTGTCTGCCTCAACATCGTCCACTAGGTTCTTGTGGTCGGTATGGTAGATGCCCGAGCCCGTCGTGCGCCGAACGAACACCAAGCAAGGAGTCAACCCAGACCGCGGTACTGTCTGAGGTCCCACCATGGCCTGCGTCCATCCAC